ACGGTTCAATTTTTTTTTTCTAGGAGTTACGCCCCTTTGAACTTATTTGCTTCAATGTACTTTGCAACAGTTTGTCATCGCAACTCCTCTGATACCACACAACAGAATTTCACGAAACCTTTGTAGATAAAAAGGACATACTATGTATATGTGCATATTGACAGGAAATTATGATTCAATTTTTTTTTTCTTACACATATTTTATTTCTCCAATGACAATGTGGGGACGTGGGGTATGTGAGCACGCTCACTAAGGTTCTTTAATTCTGGTAGTACCTGGTCTATGTACACTGATCCATGTTCCAGTAACTCTTGTCATGTTGTATGTATTTGTAGGTTATTATACCCCACGCAACGAGTTGCGGAGGGTATAATGTTTTTGACCCGTCTGTCCGTCCGTCAGTCCGTCAGTCCTGTTTCTTGTCATCGCAACTCCTCTCAAACCACACAACAGAATTTCACGAAACCTTTTTAGATAATAAGGACATACTATGTAGTTGTGCATATCGACAGGAAATTAGGATTCAATTCTTTTTCTAGGAGTTACGCCCCTTTGAACTTATTTACTTTAATGTACTACTGCAACAGTTTGTCATCGCAACTCTTCTCAAACCACACAACAGAATTTCATGAAACCTTTTCAGATAATAAGGACATACTACGTAGATGTGCATATCGACAGGAAATTACGATTCAATTTTTTTTCCAGGAGTTACGCCCTTTTGAACTTATTTGCCCAGTATACTACTGCAACCTTTTGTCATCACAACTCCTCTCAAACCACACTACAGAATTTCATGAAACCTTTTCAGATAATAAGGACATACTACGTAGATGTGCATATCGACAGGAAATTACGATTCAATTTTTTTCCAGGAGTTACGCCCCTTTGAACTTATTTGCCCAATATACTACTGCAACCTTTTGTCATCGCAACTCCTCTCAAACCACACAACAGAATTTCATGAAACCTTTTCAGATAATAAGGACATACTACGTACATGTGCATATCGACAGGAAATTACGATTCAATTTTTTTTCCAGGAGTTACGCCCCTTTGAACTTATTTGCCCAATATACTACTGCAACCTTTTGTCATCACAACTCCTCTCAAACCACACAACAGAATTTCATGAAACTTTGTAGATAATAAGGACATACTATGTAGATGTGCATATTGACAGGAAATTATGATTCAATTTTTTTTCTGATACAATTTTTTTTTCTTACACTTATTTTATTTCTCCAATGACAATGTAGGGACGTGGGGTATGTGAGCCACTCACTAAGGTTCTTTCATTCTGGTAGTATCTGGTCTCTGTACACTGATCCATGTTCCAGTAATCCTTGTCATGCTGTTTGTATTTGTAGGTTATTCTGGTAGTACCTGTTCTATGTACAATGATCCATGTTCCAGTAATCCTTGTCATGCTGTTTGTATTTATAGGTTATTCTGGTAGTACGTGGTCTGTGTACACTGATCCATGTTCCAGTAATCCTTGTCATGCTGTTTGTATTTATAGGTTATTTGTAGGTTATTCTGGTAGTACTTGGTCTATGTACACTGATCCATGTTCATGTAACCCTTGTCATGCTGTTTGTATTTGTAGGTTATTCCGGTAGTACCTTGTCTGTGTACACTGATCCATGTTCCAGTAACCCTTGTTATGCTGTTTGTATTTGTAGGCTATTGTGGTAGTACCTGTTCTCTGTACACTGATCCATGTTCCAGCAATCCTTGTCATGTTGTATGTATTTGTAGGTTATTTGTAGGTTATTCTGGTAGTACGTGGTCTGTGTACACTGATCCATGTTCCAGTAACCCTTGTCATGCTGTTTGTATTTGTAAGTTATTCTGGTAGTACCTTGTCTCTGTACACTGATCCATGTTCCAGCAATCCTTGTCATGTTGTATGTATTTGTAGGTTATTCTGGTAGTATGTGGTCTGTGTACACTGATCCATGTTCCAGTAACCCTTGTCATGTTGTATGTATTTGTAAGTTATTCTGGTAGTACCTGGTCTATGTACACTGATCCATGTTCCACAATCCTTGTCATACTTTTTATACCCCACGCAACGAGTTGCGGAGGGTATAATGTTTTTGACCGTTCCATCTGTCCGTCCGTCCGTCTGTCCGTCTGTCAGTCCGTTAGTCCTGTTTCTTGTCATCACAACTCCTCTCAAACCACACAACAGAATTTCACGAAATCTTTTTAGATAATAAGGACATACTATATAGTTGTGCATATCGACAGGAAATTACGATTCAATTTTTTTCCAGGAGTTACGCCCCTTTGAACTTATTTGCCCAAAATACTACTGCAACAGTTTGTCAGTGCAACTCCTCTCAAACCACACAACAGAATTTCATGAAACCTTTTCAGATAATAAGGACATACTAGGTAGATGTGCATATCGACAAGAAATTACCATTCAATTTTTTTTTCCAGGAGTTATGCCCCTTTGAACTTATTTGCCCAATATACTACTTCAACCTTTTGTCATCGCAACTCCTCTCAAACCACACAACAGAATTTCACGAAACCTTTTTAGATAATAAGGACATACTATGTAGTTGTGCATATCGACAGGAAATTACGATTCAATTCTTTTTCTAGGAGTTACGCCCCTTTGAACTATTTACTTTAATGTACTACTGCAACAGTTTGTCATAGCAACTCCTCTCAAACCACACAACAGAACTTCATGAAACCTTTTCAGGTAATAAGGACATACTACGTTGATGTGCATATCGACAGGAAGTTACGATTCAATTTTTTTTTTCAGGAGTTACGCCCCTTTGAACTTATTTGCCCAATATACTACTGCAACCTTTTGTCATCGCAACTCCTCTCAAACCACACAACAGAATTTCACGAAACCTTTTTAAATAATAAGGACATACTATGTAGATGTGCATATCGACAGGAAATTACGATTCAATTCTTTTCTAGGAGTTACGCCCCTTTGAACTTATTTACTTTAATGTACTACTGCAACAGTTTTTCATCGCAACTCCTCTCAAACCACACAACAGAATTTCATGAAACCTTTTGAGATAATAAGGATATACTAGGTAGATGTGCATATTGACAGGAAATTATGATTCAATTTTTTTTTTTGATACATTTTTTTTTTCTTACACTTATTTTATTTCTCCAATGACAATGTTGCATTTGGGACGTGGGGTATGTGAGTGCGCTCACTAAGGTTCTTTAATTGTATTTGTAGGTTATTCTGGTAGTACCTGTTCTATATACACTGATCCATGTTCCAGTAACCCTTCGTCATACTTTTTACATCACGATGACCGTGAGGGCATTCCGTTGTATTGTTACGACGAGATTTCTACTTACTTAACTTTCGTTTTTAACTGGTAACCGATCTATATACGCGGACATTATCGAGTGCAAAATAACATTCCTTATCGCTTGTTATAAATTCATTTCTTCAACGAATACCCTTAAAAATATGTTTTGTTTAGAACATAAATTAATAATATGAAAATGATTTGTCGTTGGAAATATATATATAAATCAAAATTCATTGATTTATTAATATCTATGCACACGTACAGAAAAATTGTGTTAACGCATGAGGAAGAATATCTGTTCTGTTCTGTTCTGTTTAGGTATGTACCTCCGTTAATATTCGGAGCACTCCACTTATCGGATGAGCAATTTTAAAATATATACTTAATCGAAAAAGTGGATATCTTTATATTTACAATATAAAAGAAAATAATTCAAAAATAAAATTAGTTAAGGTGAATTAAATAAGGGTTTATAATGTCTTAGGTGCGTTAAAATATTAAAAGATATTAATAAAAAAAAAGTATGTACACAGCACAAATTGCGGCAATATGAATCAACGTTTTGCGGGAAAATATGAATGCCTGCTCTAATCCAATCTATTAGAAAAATCGAATTATTACAGAAGAGTGTCCACCATGCACTTGCACTGCACTATTATTAGAATAGTAGAAAAGAATGATATACAAATGGATGAAAATTATTTATACATGTAACTGTTATATACAAAAATTAATATAATATATACATGACAACAAACCAGAGTATACTGATTTGTATCACTACAATATAATAGTTATTACGGTGACGTTGAATTCCCTGTCATTTATTCATCATCCACACACTTACTTGTCTCAGAAAAAAATATATATCTGTACATTAACCTCACCTTCAGGTATACAGATGTGATTTTTTTTTCTGAGACAAGTGCTTGTGACCATCCACAAGAACTTGCAGTCATCCGATGTTCAGTACTTCAGTACTTTGATTGTATTTGTAGGCTATTCTGGTAGAACCTGTTCTATGTACACTGATCCATGTTCCAGTAACCCTTGTCATACTTTTTGTATTTGTAGGTTATTCTGGTAGTACCTGGTCTGTGTACACTGATCCATGTTCCAGTAACCCTTGTCATACTTTTTGTATTTGTAGGTTATTCTGGTAGTACCTGGTCTGTGTACACTGATCCATGTTCCAGTAACCCTTGTCGTACTTTTTGTATTTGTAGGTTATTCTGGTAGTACCTGGTCTGTGTACACTGATCCATGTTCCAGTAACCCTTGTCATACTTTTTGTATTTGTAGGTTATTCTGGTAGTACCTGGTCTGTGTACACTGATCCATGTTCCAGTAACCCTTGTCGTACTTTTTGTATTTGTAGGTTATTCTGGTAGTACCTGGTCTGTGTACACTGATCCATGTTCCAGTAACCCTTGTCATACTTTTTGTATTTGTAGGTTATTCTGCAGGTAGTACCTGGTCTGTGTACACTGATCCATGTTCCAGTAACCCTTGTCATACTTTTTGTATTTGTAGGTTATTCTGGTAGTACCTGGTCTGTGTACACTGATCCATGTTCCAGTAACCCTTGTCATACTTTTTGTATTTGTAGGTTATTCTGGTAGTACCTGGTCTGTGTACACTGATCCATGTTCCAGTAACCCTTGTCATACTTTTTGTATTTGTAGGTTATTCTGGTAGTACCTGTTCTATGTACACTGATCCATGTTCTAGTAACACTTGTCATGCTTCAGCGAAATGTATATCTAATAAAGACAAGTATATATGTTATTGCGAACAGGGGAACTTACTTACAGATACTGGATGCAAAGGTATATATAATTATGCACTTTTTCAATCCAACAGACACACTAGTCAATATTTTGGACAGACATGGCCCGAGAACACAGTTATTTTGTAGTGCATTTCTTTTAGACAAAAAATGCAAATTAAAAAAATTGCACCTGCTCTATCTAAAAAAAAGATTTTTACAGTGTAATGTACTACTTTTTGGAAGAATTATATCAAATTATAGAAAAGTCCATCGGCTATAACTCAAAATATGGACGATTTTATGATAAGGGGATCTGTAATTCAGTTTGGCAGCTTCAGACATACTAATTTTTTACCTTTTTGAACTCGACCAAATCGGTACTTTACCTAAAAATTCATGCCCCAATTTTTTTTTACATGTCATTTCATCCCCTTTCTTACTATTTTATGCATAGAATATAAAGAAAGAAATTTGGAAGGTGTATGAAAAAAAAAAACAAGTTATACACTGCCCACACTAAGGAATTTATTTGTAGACAATGAAAATCAAAGGACGATAACTGTGTCCCCGGACCATATGGGTAGATGTAAACATGCACCTTAAAACTTAAAATTTATCCGTAGATACCATATGATGCTTTAAAATTGAGTAGTGCCTAGTCGGAAGGTCTTTAAGCAGGCAAAATCTGGTCACTCTAATGATACATTTAAGTGTATCATGCTGTATCCTTATATATTGTGCATTACATTACTTGATTCCTTATACACCAATAGAATTACATTACAGTCGATCTTTTCACAAAAGTTATACTGAAATGTGTATGACTTAAAGAGTTTTTTTACTCTAAAGATGTTTTGTGAAAAGAACCACTGGTAAACCACAGCAACAAACAGTCCAGTAAACTTGGATTCTTTCACGTTTCTCTATTGCAGTACCTGTGTTTGTGTGCATATTATTGGTTTTATGACACATTCATCTTCATGGATGCCATTTACTTTTTGATTTCTGTCATATTGGTGAATCTTTTACAACTACAACTTGTATTTTTGAGAAATGACATCGGTCACAAACTTCAGTTATGTTTCTTTTCCACGGTTATCTATCCCACTGAAATTCATGTTGTAAATGAAAATTAAATTATCTACAAGATGGTGTATAACACACCCATCTCTGTTGGTTGAATCATTTGTAGCAGTTCTTCGAAGTAGGTCAACCGTAAATTATTCTTCTCACAACGAAATAGCAATCTTAATATCACAGTGAATGATTAATAAAAAAAAGTATGTTCCAAAAATCTGAAACTTTATATAGAAAATAAATAGAACTTATCGTCCAGATAGAAAAGTTGTAAAAGATACCATGTTAAAAAACTGATAATTATTATTTAAGGTATATCTAATGATTAATAAGTTTCTATTTTTATGCCCCTGCTCTAGGCAACATGGGCATTAAGTGTTACCCTTGACCGTCAATCAGTCTTTCTGTCTGTCCCATTTCCTTTTTTTTCCCTAAATTATGTTGCAGTGTATTCTTAATGCAACATTGTCCTGCAGCATTTCCCGTCAAACATCAAAAGGCAATATGTATCACTGTCATATATTAATTTGTTGATGATAGAAAAGTAAATAGTCTTCATTTGCCTCAAATATAATGCCCCTGCAGAAGATTTGGCGTGCTTAGATATACAACAAGTTCTTTTTCCATTGCAAATACTTTCAAATTCATGTAACTGATTTAATGACATTATTGAATTTTCTGAGAGTTTTATATGTCCATCATTATAAACTTTGCACTATATTTGAATGCATTATCATCTTCCCTTGCTACTGTATCGTATGCCCTTAAGTCATGAATTATATTCTAGCCTACAATGTTGGAGAGTGTCAATGGTCAAAGATGCACATAGACCTATGAAGCTTTAGAGCCTATAGTTTATTTCTTTTGATGTTCTACTTCCTGTATGCTGAAAACTTGTTGAAATGTCATACACATATATGAAATTTTCATCATATTTTTCACCATCATTACAAGTCATAGTTTACCTTACTATGCAACACTTTTTCATGTTTTTTATGTTCCACTTCCTGTTAGCTGGAATAAAACTAATATCATTTAAATGGCATGCACATATATCATGGAAATGAAATCCTTGTCACATTCAGTCAATAGCAGTTAGCTCATAGTAGTACATTTTTTTTTTTTTTTTTAACAGTTATTGATGACAACTATGACATCTTCATGGACAGATATATTGATGGCATGCCAGCCTATTTGAGAAATCCAATTGTGTCTCACACAAATAATAGTATGACGATCATGTTTTGGATTAGAGTTCTAGCAAGTGCAGGAGAAAATCCTGTTTTGTTGTCATTAGAAGAAATGTAAGTATACTCCTTGCCTAATGTCATCAAACCTTGACCTGAAGAGGATACGATATCGTATCTATATAGAGAAAAAAAATTGGTTTTATGGCTGTTTGAGAAAATATAAAGATCATTGTATGTTTAATGAAAATTTACTAAACCAAACCTCTAAGCGACTTTGATTTTATTTGGATTAGACCATCAATATGTATTTTACACAAGTTAAATTACGAAAAAGACTCAATGAAAAGTTACTTAACCAAACCTGTAAAGGACTTCGATTTTGTTTGGATTAGAAAGGCATTCATTTTACATAGATTAGATTGCTAAAAAGATTCATCATATTTCTCCCTGCAAAAGCTTACTTAAGATAGGTTACCAGTTTAATAAGGTTTCACTATATGTTATATACATATATATATAATTACTCTAAATATCAGCACAATAATGTTAAATCTGCAAATTTGCGGTTCTTCCCTCGCTGGGATTCTAACTCATGCTATTGGGATATCGAGACAACACCGCCTGCACTGTGTCCAGCGCTCTAGACCACACGGCCACCTAGACTGAACTATATATACTATATCTGTAATTCCTTTGAATTAATCAAACTGTCATTGCAATCATTTGTATAGGCATACTTGAATTCATTTATTAATTATACTGCTGCTTCAAACAAGGCAGGTGACTTTGGTGGATAGTTGTCTCATTGGCAATCATACCTCATCTCCTTATTAGCTCACCTGACCCAAAGGGCGAAGTGAGCTTTTCTCATTACTTGGCGTTCGTCGTCGTCATCTGTCTTTGTCGTCGTTAACTTTTAACATTTTGAACTTCTTCTAGAGAACCACCGAATGGAATGGAACCAAACATGACATGAATGTTCCTAATGAGATGCTCACCAAGTGTTGTTACTTTGTAGCCGATCCATCATCCAAGATGGCTGCCAGCAGGGGATTTCGTTTAACATAGGACCCTATGGACAATACATACAAATGTCTTCTTTTAGAGAACCACTGAATGGAATGAAACCAAACATGGCACGAATGTTTCTTATGAGGTGCTGACCAAGTGTTGTTACTTTGAAGCCGATCCATCATCCAAGATGGCCACCAGCCGGGGACTTCGTTTAACAAAGGACCCATTGGACAATACATACGATGTTTTCTTTGAGAGAACCACTGAATGGAATGAAACCAAACATGGCATGAATGTTCCTTATGAGGTGCTGACCAAGTGTTGTTACTTTGTAGCAAATCCATCAACCAAGATGGCTGCTAACGGGGAACTTAGTTTAACAAAGGACACTATGGGAAATATATACAAATGTTTTCTTCTAAAGAAACACTGAATAGAATGAAACCAAACATGGCATGAATGTTCCTAATGAGGTGCTGACCAAGTGTTGTTACTTTGTAGCCGAACCATCATCCAAGATGGCCGCCAGCAGGGGACTTAGTTTAACATAAGACCCTATGAAAAATACATACCAATGGTTCTTCTAGAGGTGCACTGAATGGAATGAAACCAAACATGGCATAAATGTTCCTTATGAGGTGCTGATTAAGTGTTGCTACTTTGTTGCCAATTTACTGTTCAAGATGGTCACCAGGATTTTTTTATTAAATTACGGGGCCAGGATTTTTTCTTTAAATTACGGGGCCAAAATTAAACCAAATTCGGCCTTAATCATTATAAGGGTATCTGTTATGATTTTAATCTATTTTTACATGATTTCCAAAACCAAAGTAGAATCAGGTGAGCAACACAGGCTCTTAAGAGCCTCTAGTTTTGTATCAGAATCATTTTGGGGTTTTCATTTTCTGTTTATTCATACTTGTGTGTCAATATATATATATATATATACATATATATATATACACATGTAAACAAGTCTAAATTGAAAACAACGTTCAAACCTATGATTGCGTCGAATAAAAACTGCAATTTAAATACGTGTGCATGCAAAACAAATTTCTTTGTAGAGGGGTCTAAATACAGCACAAACAACATTTTCCAAAAGACCAAAAAAGTGAAAAAGTATATTTTAACAAAACGCATTTGACTAGCAGGTCGAACAACGGATGTTCTTAAACCTGGTGACTACCGTTGGCGATTGCCAAATAAACGGATCACCAGATGTAACAAAATGAATCTTAACTGTAAATTTAATACCAAACAGAAAACAATATATATACATGTATAGTTACCAAGATTATTGATTATAACGTCTGTATGACAAATAACATGCCAGTGTTTTTATAATATATATTGACAGGTGCAAAATAATTAATGCTTAAGAAGTATATCATTGACTTCACAGACACCATTGGGTCTGTTTTTTTGGATTTTTTTTATGGAAATAACAGATTGCAGGTTATTTTTGTGGGGTGTTTATTTTGGCTTATTTTGGCGGGTAAATGAAAATCGTGAAAAAAAAAATTCTGCAAAAATTTATACATAGGATCTGTACTCCCTAATAGGTAAAGTGTTTTGTGAAAAATCTTTTTTCGCGGGAGCAGGTCAATTACGGTTCAAGTTAATTTTAACAACATAAATGCCAAAGGGCATTGTTCATATATGTATTTAATAAAGTGACCTTGTTAGTTCTAATTAAACTATATACCCTTATCAATTATTATGAAATAATATAAGCGTGTAAGGTACTCTGTAAGGTATTTTACACTTTTGAATTAGTGTCAAATTATATAGTACCCATACAAAATTATAAGGCGTACAATTTCAATGAATTTATTGGTAATTTCTGTAAACTTTACAAAAGTCTTCTGCTTTTGATTAAATTACAGGGCCAATATTAAACCAAATTTGGCCTCAATCATTATTAGGGTATCTGTTATGATTTCAATCTATTTTTACACGATTTCCAAAACCTAAGTAGAATCAGGTGAGCGACAGAGGCTCTTGGGAGCCTCTAGTTTAACATTAATTTCAAAATTCTGGAAACCTTCAACCTTGGATAATAACATTTAAACTTTCACAAGTTATATTGCAGTTCTAGTATTATCATTGATTTTTTAGTTCAAATGACATTAATTTTCATAACAACTTGGTCAAAATGCTAGTTTTATTTCAAGAAAAATTAATTGTCATAATTCTTATTTGAGCCAGTGTCAGCTGTCTAATATGTATTTATTTATATAGCTTCCTCAATGGTTAATATTTCAAGTTTTATGTCAAACAATGAGCAATTTAAGCACCAGTACAAGTTTGTATCAAATCCACAAAGTACACAGCTAGGGTAATACATTGATTTAAAGTAAATGTAGTATTATGTAAGGATATATCGCCTGGTTTATTTATTGGTTTTTGTCAACCAGGCATACTCATTTAAATATTACGCCTAATTTTACGCCTGGTTTCCGCCTCAGTTACGCTTGGACATGCATTCCCTAAACATTGCAATGACGTCAGGATAAAGTATGATTTCTATGCCTGGTTTCCGTGTCATTTACAGGCATCACATTTCATACAGGTTGTTAGTTCACTCTTGATAATTTTATAGCCTAATAAGTACAGCATAACTAATCAACTGTAACATTTACAAGTAGTTTATACACCTGTGACAAATATCTAAGTTACCGGTTTTCTATTGATTAACTGGATCAGAATATAATCAATAAATATTAAAGATATCAATCAGGTAGGAAAATTATTTAATTATTACAATAGACATTTGTTTGATGGACTTTTTTTTAACTGCAACTATTTCAGTATCCACCAAAATATTTACTTGGAAATTAAGAATCCGCCAAAATAAAAACCGCCAAAATTTTTTGTAAACTTTATTGCCCCTAAATCTACTTGTATTTTCCCCAAAAACCTTTTTTGCTGCCTTTTTAAATTTATCATCTAATCATATTTAGATATACACTTATGATAATCTAAATCATTTTTCTAAATTAGATAAATGCAAACCAGTGAAATTTCAGAAAATAACTGTAAAAAGTCAGTGTAGGAAAATATAGTTAACCTGTCATCTGAACAGGTAAATTTTAGTTGTCAGACAACTAATTAACCTTGATTGTAACAAGGGGTATTAAGATTAGTTTAAAGTTCCTCAAGTTTGATTGGCAGTAAGATAAAACTGTTACCCCAAAAAAATAGAAAAGGATGATTGAAAAAGTCGCAAATTTGTTGGTGTGATTATATTTAGTTAAAAAAGAATCACTTTTTGCCACTTCAATAACTTAAAAATTGGTCTGAAAAGTAATTTTTGCATATAACCTGATGACTTTTTAAAAATTTGGTTTTAGACAAATTGGATCTTTACCTACTTTCAACCCTGAAATGCAGCAGTTTATAGCTTCTAGTCAGTATCTTCTACTTCGCAACTCTACAGATACAGACATGATTCCATATGAAACAGATGTTGCTGATGGAAAGTGGCATTTTATGGTATTCTCCTGGGAACCTTCTGGAAAGGTTAAGATATTCATAGACTCAATTAAGAAGACAGATGATGATAAGATGTCATTGGCTTTTGATATGAACGAAGATATAATGTAAGTTCTGAATTAATAGAATATAAATGTTAAAAAGGATAGACAGTTTTGCACATCTTTAAGATACCTTGAACTAGATCTACAGTTAAGAATGATAAAAAAAAAATTTCCTTTATCTATTTACCGCAATTCAGAAATTTTTGCAATGGTTTTTATTATTGCGAAAATGGTGATGGAATAAGTATCACAAAAATAAAAACTTATTTGTATGCAGCATTTACTGAAATCGTAATAACAAATCGCTTTAATAAATGCTGAGAATATCAAGATATACCTTCTTTTCATTTACATAAAAGATATTAGATGACTCCTTATAGGAGTTGTTGCCCATTAATGACAATATTTTAATAATTTTTAGCTCAACTGGCCTTGCCCTATGGTCCATGTAAGCTTTATCTATTTTTTTTTTTAGGCATTTTTATACGACAGCAAAAATTTGGCGTCCGAAGACACATTGTTTTACGCACAGTAACTTTAGTTTAAGTAAATGGATCTCTATGAAATTTTACCATAAGGTTCAATACCACAAAAGGAAGGTTGGGATTGATTTTGGGGGTTATGGTACCAACAGTTGAGGAAAAAGGGGCCAAAAATAAGCATTTTTGTAACTTCCAGACAATAACTTGTGTTTAAGTGTATGGATCTCTCTGAAATTTTACCGCAAGTTTCCGTACCACAAAGGAATGATTAGGATTGGCTTTGGGGGGTTATGGCTCAAACCGTTTAGGAATTAGGGGCAAAAAAGGGGGAAAAACAAGGGTTTCCTGGTTAATGGACAATTTAAAAGCAGTGTAAGCTAAGGGAGGTAATCAAAAAACAAAATTGTACAATGTTGGACTACCTCCCTTACACTGCTTTAAAATTATCTATTTAAGACTTTTATGATGTATATAAATGGGTAATTATGGTTGCAAACTCTATTGGTAATTTGAATTGAGATTATGACCATATCTTGATGGAAAGAATTTTTTTTTTTGAAAAGGGGGGGAGGGGTTGGGTAATTTTTTCTCATTTCAGATTTCAGAAATTAAACAAAATTTCGTCACATATTTTTTTTTTTTTTTGCAAAAAAAAGGGGGAGAGGTGAATTCGCACAGGCACAGTGTATTGCACAAAAGCAGAAATTGAATATAAATTCAAATCATATAACCAATTCTAAGTTCTTTGACTACAGTTATTCTGTGTCAGAAACCTATTATGTGTCAAATATTTAAATACAATCCAAATTCAGACCTGTATCAAGCGCGAATATTGTGTCCATTTTTGCCCCAACTGTTCAGGGTTGGACCTCTGCGGTTGTATCCAGCTGCGCCTGGCGAAGCAATTTATTTTTTATAAGTCTTCTCTATTTGGAAGCCACTGAACAAATTTCAAACAAACTTGAGACCCTGAAAGATCTCTAAGGTATCTAGTATAAAGTTTGTGTATTTGATCAAGCCAATTTAGCAGTGTCTATGTGATCAATCCAGGTTGTGATTAAAAGGCATATCATGAAACTAATGATATGTTTTATGACTTGCATAAAGTTTAGAAATTTAAGATAAGAATTATAAAAGTATTTTATTAGGTTATGCTTCTGTAAGTAATTAGATTTTGTGTTCACTTTACTCGGACTTGCCCTAATTTTGTAGAGCCAACCCTAACTGTTTTCACTGAAAATTTGGCAAATTATATTTTCCCCATAGTATTTATGACAATTGTTTTCTTTTTGTTTAACCACTAGCTTAATGCCGAAAATTTGTCAGCAAGTGTCATGTAAAAATGAGTGAAAATAAATCTGACTTGCAAAAACAAATTTCGACAAAATGATAATAACCAAGATACAGGTAATTGGAAAAACTGGATCTGATTAGCATGATTAGGGAACCAGATAGTTTTATCTGGGTTTGCTGATAAAAAACAAATTGTTTTGTCAACAAACCCTTCTTTTTTCAGAAAGTTACAGTAAACACTTTTTTTTTTATTCAATACAGTTTTTAGATGATAATTTATATATGTGCATCCCTGATTATTGATGCCATGTGTTTTATATAATTTTCATAAATTGATTCACTGTGTAAACCTGGAACATAATATACATTTTAAGGACCTGCATCAAGGATGTGGGAGCTAGCTACTCTGCTCTATAGTTTTCATTTTTTCTACTGTCCCTCAACAATTTTTTTTGCAAAAATTCCAAAAGCTTAGGTAGGAGGCCAATGAAATTTTGCTTATTTGTTTTGCATGAAATGTAGATCTGCATTTATTATATTTTGGTGCAATTCAGCTTGTTAATTTTGGAAAAAAACTTTGTTTTTGTTTAAAAAATTACAAATTTTGAGGAATGTCAAATTTAATACAAAAAATCCTAAAGTGTAGGTAGGAGGCAATTTGAATTTTTCTTTTTTTTTTTCTTTTTTTTTTTGCATAATATGTAGATGTGAATATTTTATTTTGGTGAAATTTGGTCCATTAATTTCATGTTTTTGTTAAAAAAAAATCAATAATTTTGAGAAATGTCTCTTGTTCATGCAAAAACTCAAATAGTAGAAACGGAGCCAATTATTTCCCCCATTACTATAATGCAATTCTATTAAAATAGAGGGTCAGATTTTTTATTCCCTATATTATACAGCAAAATTTCAATTACTTTCTAATACTAGAAGCCCCTTCATGGTTTCTTGGAGAATTCTTGAAGGATCATGACAGACATTCAAGAGAGCAATAATGAGTAGTAGTAGTGTCATTTTACTAACTTTCTGGTTAAAATCGAAATTCTGATATATAATACATATATCTGTATGCAGATTGTCCTGAAATCGCAATAATTTATTAGTCTCGTATTATTGCCTATTTTTCAAAAATCGCAATAATAAATACACACAATGATTTTTGAATTTACAGTAGTTAGATATAAAAGGCCCTGAAATTGCAAATTGTCTAACAATTCAAACAGAAAAATCTATGGCATGATTTATAACAACAATAAACGATAAACAAAGATGACAGATAGCAACCAACTACAACCTCTGCATAACAGTCTAATGACTTGGGAGAGTTACATATAAACTGTACAGGGGTTTTTCTGGGTATTTTGGGAAAAAGGACCCTGGCCAGTTTTGGGAATTTTTTCACGCGTTTTTCAATGAAATTAGGAAAACAGCAAATATACCGAATTGAGTTTTAGTATGTTCATTAAAAGTTATCTTTTATTGTGAAAATAAAATAAGAAACTTCCAGAATTTTACCAGCCCTTCAAAATTCAGAAGAAATTACCTCTTGGAATTGTAGTTATATAGATATAAGAAGATGTGGTATGAGTGCCAATGAGACAACTCTCCATCCAAGTCCAAATGTGTGAACTAAGTAATTTTGAGTTTCTGTATAAAATATTTCCTGTTTTTTCTTTCTTTTTCCATTTATCTTTTGGTTTTCAATTCTAGTGTTTATTATTTCATCATCAACATATATGCATGTATTTTGTCACCTGCCTGGAATTATTATTTTTTTTATTGTATTTGATTGGCAAACCCAGAATTACCCTTATCCGCCTCCAGAATCTGACCCGGTATTGTAATTGTCTCTTCATTTCCGGTTTATGGCGTCCATTGTTTTTCAATGTTGTTTTTGTCAGTCAGATACAATGTTACTCGGATTTACACATTACTTGTTGGCGATTTTCGGCATCAAACTAGCGGTTGAACAAAATGAACATCGCTGTCATGAATAATAAAGATGAAAATAAATTTTGTGATCGTTTGGGAATTTTGCTCCCACAATTGGGAAAAATGAAGGGTATTTTCCATTGGGAATGGATCCGAATGCGGGACCCTGTGGAATGCTAGAAAAATCCATGCTATAGTTGTGTTGAACATGTTTGTGAGCGCTCAACTCTCCCCTAATCTGGGAGAGTGGTTTTACAGCTCACCATAAGAACAAACTATAAAAAACAATTTGCAATGACTGACCTCATTAGATCAGCATGGAGCACAAAACGAAACAGCTTACATGAAGACAAAAGATTTAAAGCACTCATGGTTACTTAAAGCTAGTTCAAAGCCAATAATAACTTATATATAAGTCATGTTCTGTTGTTTCTGTTTTTATATGCATTTTATGTGATTGCAACCTTACTTTATATATGGTCGCATATAATGAGAGGAAGATACCTAATCATTTTGAGGTCACTTCATCTAAGGTCAAAGTTACTAAAATAGATTTAAGTAGGACCATATTACTGTCTCAATAGAAATGAATCATAATTCATGTAAACAGGGAAAAATAACCTATGCCATAAGGTCCCTAAAAGCTTTTCCCTTTTATATTGGGGGAAGTGGGGTTTGTGAGCTTGCTCACTATTAAAAGGTCAATTTCAATATTTGTACATGTATTTAAATAATGATTTCTCATGCATGATCAGTAATGTCACATCAGAAAAAAACATATATGATTAAACTATAAAAACTACAAAAAAAAAAAAAAAAAACAGTTTACATTTATGAGTTTCACAGAGTAAATTTCATCATTGTCTGAATTGAAATAAGTTTAAGGCAATCTTGATTTTAAATGTGGCTTTGTATGAAAAAATATAGTGCAATTTTCAAGTGCTGCAACACTTTTGACCTATGGCTCTAGCTATTGTTAAATAGTAGGAAAACATCTTGCTAAAAAAGGAAATTAATATATGATTTGATTGATTAATTGTTGGTTGCTGAACATCCAGTGGCAAATGTTTCATGCATGTTCAATACCAGAACAAATTAACAATAGGTGCAGTAATAGAAGTTGTCCTGGATGAAGGTCTAGTAAATTTTGACTGCCACTACAAACTTTGCAACAGGCCTCCTACCGACCCCTCAAAGAGTTATTACATGGGCTCTTAATGTGTATAGGTCATGATACTCTCTCTACATGAGGCATCAGATTTAACATTGCCTTTCCGACTGTAAGTGGATGTGTACTTGTACATTCTGCACAGCAAAACACCAGACACCAAATTTTGGCAAAGGTTTTACTTCCAATCAGAAGAAACCTAAGTGACAATTTTTTTTTTTTTTGAGGGGGGGGGGGGGGGGGGGGTAAGAGGGAATATATGATTTGAGCAAAGTAACTGTCTCTCTTTTAAGCAATGGCATTTCAAATCCCTAAACTTATAGCATTTTCCTATTTTTATTTTCAGTATGCAAATGATAATTGGATCTGCAGATACTCATGGTAGAATATCAAAACTTAGGATCTACAAGACAGTTTTCAAAGATATAGACATATTCAAGGCTAAAGACAGCATCAGTCATTTGCCATCAAACGAATTAAAACAAGGATGGACCAACATAGTATTAACAAAGTCCACATTTAGAATAGTACCCAGTGGTGCTGGAAATGAAAGTATCTGTGATCTTGGTTTCCCAGATTGCCTAAATGAAGGTACCTTATAAAATTATTGAAGGGAAGGTTCCTTTCCAAAAAGTTTACATCAACCAAATAATTTCCCTTAATTTCTATCAATTTTGTTCCAAACTTAAGCTGTTACCCTGCAACTTTTTAGCTCCCTGGGGCCCTTTTGGCCCCATGTGAGCTTATGCCATCACTTGGCATCCGTCGTTGTCCGTCGTCTGTCGTCGTAAACTATTTCAAAAATCTTCTCCTCTGAAACTACTAGGCCAAATACCTTCAGACTTTAACTAAATGTTCCTTAGGGTATCTAGTTTATAAATTGTATCCGAAGTTTTGATCCATTGACAAACACGGGCCCCACGGCAAAAAATAGAACATAGGGGTCAAATGCAGTTTTTGGCTTATATCTCAAAAACTAAAGCTTTTAGAGCAAATCTGACATGTGGTAAAATTGTTCAATTGGTCAAGATCTATTAGGTCTGAAATTTTCAGATGAATCGAACACTCCATGTTTGGGTTGCTGCCACCGAATTGGTAGTTTTAACTAAATTTGACTAAATGTTCCTTAGGGTATCTTGTTTATAAATTGTATCCAAAGTTTATATCCATCGACAAACATGGCCACCATGGCTAAAAATAGAACATAAGGGTCAAATGCAGTTTTTGGCTTATATCTCAAAAACTAAATCTTTTAGAGCAAATGTGACTGGAGTAAAATTGTTTAATTGGTCATCTATCGGTCCTGAAAGTATCAGACGAATCGAATAACCCATGTTTGGGTTGCTGCCACCGAATTGGTAGTTTTAACTAAATTTGACTAAATGTTCCTTAGGGTATCTTGTTTATAAATTGTATCCAAAGTTTATATCCATCGACAAACATGGCCACCATGGCTAAAAATAGAACATAAGGGTCAAATGCAGTTTTTGGCTTATATCTCAAAAACTAAATCTTTTAGAGCAAATGTGACTGGGGTAAAATTGTTTAATTGGTCATCTATCGGTCCTGAAATTATCAGACGAATCGAATAACCCATTGTTGGGTTGCTGCCACCGAATTGGTAGTTTTAACAAAATTTGCAGTTTTTTGTTATTATTTTGAATTTTTTTATAGATATATATAAACTGTAAGCAGCAATAATGTTCAGCAAAGTATGATCTACAAAAAAGTTAATATGACCAAAATTGTCAATTGACCCCTAAAGGAGTTATTGCCCTTTAAAGACAATTTTACACAATTTGTTCATCAAGTTTGCTTACATTTAAAAATCTTCTCCTCTGAAATACAGGTGAGCGATTCAGGCTCTTGAGAGCCTCTTGTTTGAAAAAATTGTAACTTAATTTGCATATTATCATTTTTAATCATGTTTACCAATGTCATTAATGATTGAATGATTAAGATTATAAACTGCTTTCTAGTTTATCAAAATTATTTATACTGAAATTTTGGAAAACCTTTTTCTTTTGATTTTGTATCTGAAAACACTGCTTTATAAATTTGTTTAAAGAATTTTTCTTGTGAGAATTAATAAATACAATAACTTGGGTAAGAATCACCAATTAAAGTTGAATCGAACCTATTAAAATTTGTATCGAAGGGGCTTGTCTTCTGGTGATTTGAAAAGGCTGAAAAGACCATCTTCAACCATATTTTATAATGAAACTGTTTTCAAATAAAATTGAGAATGAAAATGGGGAATGTGTCAGAGAGACAACAACCTAACCAGAAAACAGCCGAAGGCCACCAAAGGGTCTTCAAAACAGCGAGAAAATCCCATATCCTGAAGAGGGCTTCAGCTGGCCCCTAAACAAAAATGTGTTCTAGTTCAATGAAAATGGATGTCACACCAAACTCCAAAACATATAAATGAACTAAAATTAAAAAACATACTAGACTAACAAAGATCAGAGGCATCTGACTTGGGACAGGTGCAAAAATGTAAAGAATATATAGACCAAATCTGTGAATCAAAAAAAAAAAAAAAAAATCCACCTAAAAAGCATGCTTATTATATATAAAGGCAACATTTTGATGAAGAAGAAAAACATTATTATATTTTATTTGATCAATTTATACAGATAGGACCAAACCAATTATAAGCTGTCCTGAGGATCAAACAAAGCATGGTACTGAACGTCTAACAGCATTTACAGGCCTGAAAAATAATTACATGAAGAATGAAGATGTAAAATATGTGAATACATCAGTTCATGATGGTAAGTTTCAGGTCAAAATGTCCCAGATTCTGATGTCCATACTAGAATATACAAAATCAACCTTTTGATAGATAGATATGTAATACACTCAAGTTTTTATAAAAAAAAATACAAAATGAGCCAGTTCATGCAAAAAGGCATAAAATTTGAATTTGTGAAATTATGCATACTTATTGGTAGCAGACTTGTGATCTATAAAACACCACTACTTTTCCTCATATGATTAAGCTGTAAGCTATACACACCTTTCAGTGCTTATCCCCAAACCCCTTCCCATGTTTTTTTAACAATATTTTGTTAAATTATTTCACATTTTGTATTCATTTTTCCTTGTATTGTTTAAGTGCTTAATATTGGTTGTGTCAATAGTTCAAACTCCTGCCTAACTTTCTTGTAAGATTTTTATGAAAATTTAATCAAAAATTTATATGAGTAAAATTGTGAAAACTGGATTGATATTTACACTTGATTTTCATTGGAAAATTATTGAATTTATACATGTAGCACTTTGACAGAAAAAATATCTGCTGTGTCAGGGGAGAGTTGTTGTTTTATTATTATTGTTCTTTTGTTTTCAGATGAATTGTATATATATGGTAGCAGCAATGAAGTATTTGTGGCCTATGATGAAGCCATGAATTATGATATTTGTAGATTTAAAGTATATGTTAAATGTGAGTATAAAGTGGACTATTCCTTAAAGGGAAACTTCTCAAAAAAATGAAAAAATGATATTATGTTCATTATGTATAAAAAAGCACAAATTCATAAATATTAAAGTTTTATTCTGCTAGATAAGAGATCACCATCAATTTTAAATTTGAGAGTATCAATTCTCTGCATGCCGCCATTTTGTCATCTTCCCGGTTTACGAAACCACTTGATATCTATAAACCACAAAAGACCAAAACCAGCAGTAACCTAATGTAGTCGTAATTGAGTGTCGATGTCTTGTCAAGCGTATGGTTGTTTTATTCGACAAGGAAAGCATAAACAGTTAACCGGTTTACAAAAATGATTATAATAGACATGATTGTGCAACCTTTCCTAACTAACTTGATACGGAAAATGTAATTATTTTTTTTAAATAACCGCTATGGTCTGTCGTTTTTGAAACAAGAAATTTAAATAGGAATTAGTTAAAAAGTCAAAGTTCAAATAAAAAATTAGTGTTCCATGTAAGATTGTTTTCGAAAAATCTAATTTGTTCATAATTCTTTTAGTTTTATGTAATAAACATATTTAAATAAATTCGGACCTTCCCTTATCTGATCACCAGCATGGCTGAAGGAATTATTCCCAGAGGTATTGTGAGGTGACACGTCCAGTGTTCAAGGGATTTCCTGTCAAGCTAATAATTCTTATTACACAATTACATAACGCAAGTTCATGCATCACTTCACTTCTGAGGGTATTGATCAGTGTACACGGCCGATAACTTGTAACTTTCCATTTTAAAACTATCAGGTGTAATATACATCTTTGTCTTGCATGTCCGATAGTGATATACTATAGTCATTACTAAACTCATACGCTTGTTTACAAATAACATTTCTGGTGTAAAGAATGATATTTATGAAAATCTAAATAATTCCAAAAAAAGATTTGATAAAATAAAAATCTATTTACATATTTTCCAAGGGTAAATTGGGGAAAATGTAAGTATATACTCGTTGTCAATAATTATGGACATTTTGAAACATACAAATATTGATTTAACAAAAATGTACGCACTTGTCGATCATTGGTTTATACGCCTAGATAGAAAGTTATGGAACTATAGATAGCCGCAATTTAAAATATAAACTTGTATATTGAATATAAGAGAGAAACATCCAGAACCAATCTGAATTAAATACAGGTCGATATCTAACTTGGTTTGGTTCATCCTGGGACTATTATACTAGTATAATAGTCCCAGGTTCATAGAAGTTATGGCCATAGTAAAATCAGATTTATATTTCAATTAGATTGTTCTCGAACAGTCTAAGAAATTCGTCATCATCACAATTGTTGGGTATAATGTATAATAATGTGAACATGGTTCTATTAGTACCTTATGTCAATTTTCCTGTTCCGACATGCATGTTATATATATGCCACTGGACTTACACTAATGATCCCCAAAAAGCCTATATTTGAAGAAATAAAGAAAATTCACTCCGGATAGACTGATAGTAGTTGTATTAACATCTGATCAGCTAGGGGGTTGATTAATTTATTTAGTTAGCTTGTGGGGGAATAAACCATTCCCAACATTGCACTTATGCATAAAATATTAAATGAGAGTAATATAAGAGAAAATATAAATACGAAAAGTCGCATATCTGGTAGAAAAAGTCTCACCAACTATACGATTTTACGTACAATTGTCATTCTTAATCGAAATAACGGAAAATCATTAAAATACATGCATGTACGCTGTGATAAAAAGGGGTGCTGCAGTTGCATAGTATTCATCATCAATCTATTTCAAGTTTATATTTTCCTGTTATTTTTATAAGTTAACGCAGAGACAGGTAAAGTCTATCGAAAGTTACAAAATAAGAACGTTGTATTTATGAATTTACAAGAAGAATTCTGTTCTTGGACGTAGTTTTTTTTTTTTTTTTTAGTTCAGTGATTTTAATAAATTGAGAGAAAAAATCTAGTCAGAATTTAAATCGTTCCGGCAATCCCCCGCCTGAGACTCCTCTATAATCATGAATGGTCATGCTTCACAATCATCAGAATTTTCTTTGCATTGGTACATTCTGTATCGGTAGTGATTAAGGTATAACAGAGCTACTTGTATATTACCTGTATGTGGTTAGGTGACGTCCCATGAGGTCTTACATATACAGGTTCACATTTATAATGGTTTCTGATATAACAAGGTTTTATAACATTCACACTTCTGCATGTTCTGTATACCAAATTCTTATCTTATTTTCAGACCGAATGAGGATGTGAATATTTTCCAGGAAAAATATTGAGTATCAAATTAATTTAGGGATTTTTTTCTTTTCTTGGTATTAAATCACAGAAATTTAAAGAATATATTGCTTGTCCGCTTTAGGAGTATTCTTATCATTTTAGACAGACATATATATGTGTATATATGTCTCTGGTTTAGAGTGGGTTTATGAATGAATGATAAGTCTTGCAAAGGTAAAAGATATAAAGCACATTGAAAATTTATTTGACGTTAGATTGATTCTGTTATTTTTTTTTTAAACATCTTTGGTCAAATAGCTAAAGTATTTATACGTTGTGAGATTTAAAATATTTTAAAAAGGCATTCCCTATTAGGTAAATGTAAATCGCTTTGGACGGAACAAACTATATTAATGTAACTGATATAATTTTCTCTGCACATTTAAATATTCAAGGTTACTGATGATAATTTAAAATAGTACAGTTTTTGGTTTATACGCTCGTTTTCGTGGGCCATTTTTATTTATAGAATAATTTAAATGAAAGTAATTCAGAATTTCGATGTTACAACAAAATACTCACCTTTTTATTTAAAAACTGAGCTAACGCAAAATATTAAAAAAAATATATATAACGGCGATTCAGGTATTTTGCCACCATATTCCTCCCCAAATAATAATTTTTTTTTCTGTCTCAAAACCCGCACACTTCTCTTTTATCATTTTTTTTTCATGTTTTTCACACCTGAAACGGTGAGCCCTTGAGGCCAAACAACACTCTAGTGAAGATCAAAAGATTAAAATTACATAATGCTAATCTTTTAATTATCCTGAATTTAACCACGCCTTAACCAGGTAGTGTCAGTATAATACACATTATATATACACAGTACTAGCAGGAAATGTTTGCTAGACTGATACCAGGATTTGTATAGTAAGACAAATCCTTGACTGAAGTAAAAGGTGAGGATACAAACATGCATTTTTATTACACTTTCAGTTATAAATGTTTGTTCAACATATCCGTCGGAAAAAAAATTCATAAAAATATTCTAGTGTATGATTTACTTTTAATACAATAATCATATCAGAAATCCCTAAAATATAAATCGTACATTTTGATGTAAAAAGTTGCACGGCTGATCACTTTACTCACTTAATTATTAGTTCGTTAATAGATACGCAAAATAGTCGTCGATGCGCTTTAAATTGCGTTATTAGATGATTAACGAACAAGTCTTAACATGAGATTAAATCCACTCCAGGCATGCAATGAGCCTTAAACTACGTCACAGAAGTCAGGAAGTTCGAAAAAATAAAATTAATAATTCCTAATTTTCTTCTTTATTAGTGATCATATCCAGATAAAACTGGATGAATATGTTTTTTTATGGTATTAGAACATAATAAGATGATAAGTAAAAAATTGTGAATTTTCCCTTTAATGATTTTTTATTAGATGTTTTTAAAATCTAGATCTGTATAAGTCAATTATTGCTGAAATCGTCAGTTTGACTCTTGATAGGAGTTATTGCCCTTAAATGACAATTTTAGTGTTTCTGCCTGTTGTAAATTCAAAAATGATTGCGAGGTTTTTATCAATGCGAATAATGCTACTTGGTGATTATCGCAATAATAAAAACTATAATCTGATACGGAAATTTGTATGCAGATTTTCCTGAAATTGCTATAATTTATCTTGCATTTTTGTCCATTCTTCAAAATTCCCAATAATAACTGCACACAACAGTTTTTCAGCTTACAGCATTATCTTGAAAACTATAATAGATAGATAGCAAAAATGATCAGCAAGACAAGATCTGTTGATAGGTCAACATATGAAATCCTCAGATGACTCCTTGCCATAAATGACCATTTTTTCCTATTTTTTTGTTGTTTGCGAATCATCTTGAAAACTAAAAGATAAATAGAAACTTTAAAAAGCAAAAATGGTAAGCAACTGACAACCTCTACAAATGAGGCATTTATTGCTGAAATTGTCTATCAGCTCTTGTAAGGAGCTATTGCCTTTAATTGACAATTTTTGCATTTTTGCCTATTATCCTGACAACAATAAAAGATAGATAGAAACTTTAAGCAGCAAAAATGACCTGCAAGACCAGATCAGCATATAGATCAGCATAGATGAACTTGTCAGTTTTCTTTTGATAGGAGTTAAAATGACCATTTTTACTCTTTTTAGTGTTTTTTTGGGGAATAAAATTAATAGATTAGATAGAGAGAAAGTGCAAACCAAAAAAATAATCTGTATTTCAAAATCATCAAAAAAGAGATTTTAGAGATGAATTATATTCTAGTCTGATGTTGGAGAGTGTCCATTGTTGAAGATGGACATAAGAGCCTTTAGTTTTGATGAAGTCTGGTGTCATATGGATAATTGAACCCTCTGTAAATTGAAACCAGGGTCTCTTTGAGGTTGATTTTCCATATATGACACCCGTTCTTAGTTATTACTAAAAGGAGTATGTCATGGAATGAATGTTAGGTGGATATGTCTGTTTACATGGTTCATCTGACTTGACCTCAATTTCATTGATCATTGTTCATTGTTCTATATTCAGATTTCTTGGTAAAGTCCTTTTCTCGGATACTATAAACAAGAGGTCAACAATATTTATTGTATAGAATGATTATATGTTCTGCATGTCCTTCCAGCATAGTTCATCTGACCTTGTCCTCATTTCATGGATCAGTTGTCAATGTTGAGACTTGATGTCCTTTTATTAGATACTATCAGCAATGCAATAAATCAACTATATTTGATGTATGTAATTATTGCAAGGTGAACATGTCTGTTTTGTTAGGTTCATCTGACCTTGATTTCATTTTTATTGAACTTTGATGGTGACAAGTGTAAACTTTTCTCCTAAAAACTTTCCATATAAAATTTGATCATGATCAGTCAACCCAGAGAGTCATTTTAATGTGTTCTCTATTGTCAACTTGGTAGCCACTACGAAAGGAGGTCTACTAACCAGTGGACCCTGTTCATCATTACATATCTCTGATAAACCTTGAGTAGAAAACTTTTATTTAAATTTTTCTTGGCTTCTATTGTGGGTCTATAGCTTAAAAATGTTGTCATAGTTTTATTATTATTATGTTTTTTATCAAAACAATTTTTTGGTTTCCCCTAATAAAGCAATGACCTTGCCATTGCTTTATTTGAAGAATACCTATTATGTTTCTGCAACTCCTCCTCTACCCCTTATCACAATTTATTGAATTTATCTCAATCTTACAAAATCATGGACTTTTCAAGGAAATAGGTATCATTTTGTCACCTTTGACCACATTACTTCTATGTTTTTGTAAATTATCATACTGAGAAAACCATATTCCTTTCACCTCAAACACAAGGCCAGTGCTTTTTAATTTGTTGGTTTCCAGTTTTTTGATGTGAAAATATTGGGATTTTTTTCAAAAACATATGACAAGACATATTATGTATAGAATTTCTGCATACTTCAGCTTTATTACAATATTTGTGTTCTCCCTTTTGTTATCCTTCCTTCTGTTAAAGCGCCAAATTGTTTTTCTCGGCTGTTTTAAACGTACAATGCATGTCATCGCCATACAAATTGGAAAAAGGGGAGGTTATGTGCATTTACAAACAGGACATAAATGGTCATTTTGCAATGAATGAATAATAAAATTCAGCAATATGTTGCTTTTTGTCAATTTTCACGAAATACAGTGAAAAATATGTTTAAAGCAAGAAAGCACATGAAAAAAAAATAGCAAACATATTACATGAAAATAATAAATAATAGTTCACCACTGACTTAACCTCTTTTCAATTTGGACAGGTCATTTTCATGTGAGGATGAATAAAATTGAGAATGGAAATGGGGAATGTGTCAAAGAGACAACAACCCTACCCAAAGAGCAGAAAATAGCCCAAGGCCACCAATGGGTCTTTAACACAGCGAGAAAAGCCCGCACCAGGAGGCGGGCTTCAGCTGGCCCCTTAAACAAAAATGTGTACTTGTTCAGTGAAAATGGACATCACACTAAACTCAGAAACATATAAATGAACTAAAATTAAAAAAACATACAAGACTAACAAAGGCTAGAGGCTCCTGACTTGAGACAGGCGAAAAAATGAGGCTGGGTTAAACATGTTTTGTGAGATCACAACCCTCCCCGTATACCTCTAGCCAATGTAGAATAAACAAACACACAACATGGTTTAAAATAAAATCTTATGGAATTATGAAAAAAAATGGATAACCATCTCATTGTAAAGGTCGATTAACAGAGGCTTTTGTTCCATAAATTTTATTTGCATAAACTACATTTCTAGATCTGTTCGATGTAATGTAATGTAATGTTAGGTTATGTTATATATGTTATGTAAAGTAATGTAAATGTAAATATTTGGATATCGCTTGATATCAACTCTTAGGTATTTAATTTTATAATACACGCCTTTGGCAAGTTTATTATTACTATTTAAATTAAATAACGAGAGTTTATATCAAATGATATCCAATTCTCATTAGTTGTTATAAACCTATTTCTCTTATGGTCAACACTTTCATTGTGTTAAATTAAAAATTCAGTGAATCGTTGATCTAGTCTTTTAGACATACCAGTATGATGTCATCTGTCCTGTTGTGGCGTCAAACTGTAAACTTTTTATACGCTTCGGAATGTATGAAAATTTGACCAAAAGAAAAGTGTGAGTGTTTTGTATATATTATTTAAGAATTCACATATGTCCATTGCCATGGATGAAATGTTCATCGTCCTTACCTTTGATGTCAACAATGACCTAATGGCCATTGGAAATGTTGTAATATCTACTCATGATGCTGGATAAGCCAATCAAATTAACGCAGTTTTCATATTACTTTTTCATATCACACTCCTTGCAGTGGGATACGAGAAATATCTCTTCATGCAAGAAATAGATAACAGGCCACAACCATAAGAAAATTTATAATATAATATTAATTCCATATAATATTAATTCTGTAAGATATTGTGTATGATTACAGATGCTGATGAATGTCAGGTGCCACAAACTAATGCAGTTGTAGAGTTTTGTCCCAACAGTAAACATATTTGTGGATTAAATTGTCCCTCTGGAGAAGCACTATCTATAAAACATAACTTAAAATACAAGTGTGGAGCCTTGGGAGTCTATAATTTTGAACATCCAAGGAAGAAATTTATATTGCCTACCTGTGGAGGTTAGTATTGTTTAGATATGATTAGATTCAATTTTTATTTATCAATTTCAAGGCAGAATTGCAAAATAATTAAAAAGAATGTTATTGTCTTTAGATAGAAATAATGCTGTCTATTGACATTGGTCATATTCTTTTACTTTCTATCATGAAAACCACTTTCTGAATTAAAAGCATTTTCAAAATGTAAAGAGCTGATTGCACAAGCTACCTTAATTGGTCTTGTAAATTTTGCACTGGTACATTGCCCGCACCTCCTTCTCGCCACAAAAATTCAGGTAAAAAAATAATTTCAAATGATGTGTGATCGTTTGCTGTGTTTTCATGGAAAAACTGTTTTCCATCATCAAATAGAAATTGAAAATGCTTGTAAACAATTCTATAACTCTTAAAGAGTGTTGAAATAAATCAAAATCACAACAACTAAAAATTGAGAAACTTCTATGTTTATACTGGAAGTTCAAATAAATAAAGTAAATAAGTACCGGTAAATGAAAATAAATATGGTGAGAGAGTACGGAAAATCCATACTTAAAAGATATCACTTGGAATACAACTTTGAAAGTAAAACAGTTCCATCCTTAAGTAAAATGATGTTTAACATATCTTTCACATTAATGTTTGAAGGATCTTAAACTAAATCAAATCACATGCGTCAGTATGAAACACCAAAACAGAAGGAATAACTGATTACTTTTTTGGAGTATTATACATCGAAATGCATAAGCTGGTTCCTGGCTGACTTGTACACTTTTTTCATTCCATTAGTTTCAAGAGATTCCAGTTTATTTTATGCAATACAGTGAAAAGAAACAAGAAGTTTGAAGTGAAGCATTTAATTTTAAAATTCATCAGTTTATATTTGATTTTGAATAAAAATTGCATATTAATATGGATGAGGTAAATTATTAGTTTTGAAAATGATAAGAGCGCCCTCTACAATTTCCATTACAAACAAGGTGGAACGTAAACAAAACCCACAAAATCTAATTTTTTCTTTAATTTCTTGCTAATTGTACTCTATAATCCGCACACCTGTCAAGCAGGTTCAATTTTGGAGAATAAAACAGAGGACTATACAAGCCTGAGTTCAGTAATATTGTTAGTTCAATTTCAAAAATGTTGTGCCTATGTGCTTTTAATATCATTTGTTCATGTTTCATATTTTACTTTTCATCATGTCTATTGAAGGGCTCAAACTATCACTGTTAATTCCAGCATTTTGGTAAGAATGAATCCTGTTCATTTCTTGGCAAAGATCCAGATTTTTTTCACACAAACTCATCACTTGGCGTCCATTGTCTGTCGTCCATCGTCGTCTGTTAACTTTTACAAAAATCTCCTCTGAAACTACTGCGCCAAATTTAACCAAATTTGGACACAATCATCATTGGGGTATCTAGTTCAAAAAAAGTGTCTGATGACGCCGCCTGCCAACCAAGATGGCTGACATGGCTGAAAATAGAACATAGGGGTAAAATTCAAGTTTTGTCTATTATTTTGAAAACAGTTATGAATAGAGAAAATCTGACTAAAGCAGATATGATCCGAATGTTGAGCTCTACCAATTATACATGTACATCAAAACTGCCAGACAACTTTTTGTAGTAGTTATTGCTCTTAAATGACAAATTTTATCATTTTTTTTCATTTTTGCCTATTATTTTGAAATCTGTTATAGATAGAGAGAAATTTATATTGCAAAAATGATCAGCAAGACAAGCTTTACAAATAAATCGTCAGTTGATTTCTTATAGAGTTATTGCCCTTTGATGAAGATTTTTACCAATTTCTTTTGCCTATTATCTTAAAATTTATAATAAATAGATTGAAACTTGTCTTGCTGATCATAAATTAGCAAAAATGATCAGCAAGACAAGATCTACAATTAAGACAACATAGAGGAAATTGTCTGATGACTCCTTAATGGAGTTATTTTCCTTTAATGATGATTTTTACCATTTTTTTTTGCATATTGCCTTAAATTATAAAAATTATAATAGATAACTAGACATTCACAAAAAATTATCAGCAAGGCAAGATCTACTAACAAGTCAAATTTTGCCAATATAGTTTAGTATACTGTCTTTCTTTAGAGGAGTGATTGTCCTTAAATTAGAATTTTTTTTACCCTGTTTTGTGTTTTGAGTAAAAACTAAAGAAGATAGAAAGAAACTTAACAGACTTAATTATCAGCAAAACAGATTTTTGTCATAAATTCTATTCTTGTCTACAATGTTGGTGAGTGTCCTATGTTGAATATGTAAATTAACCGAGGTGAGCAACACAGGCTCTTTAGAGCCTCTAGTTAAAAATGTTGAACAAATGATTTCTGGAATGCTGTCAGGAATATTGCAGTTCCTTTGATTGATAGTGTTTGATTTTGTCAGTTTTAATGGACAACCCCTTTTTGAATATGCCTTAAAGTTTGGTATTTTTGCTATTTCATGGATCAGTGATGAGGTTAAGCTTTCATGGTCAAGTTGGTATCTCAGATACTGTAAATAATAGGTCAACTATATTTGGTTTGTGGGTAAGGAATACATGTCTGTCTGGCAGGTTTCATCTGACTTTTGAACTCATTTCCATGGTTCATCGATCAATGTTAGGTGTTTGTGTTTTGGTCTGTTTTTGAATACTATAAGCAACAGGTCAACTATATTTGGTGAATGGAATGATTTTAAGGTGTACATATCTGTCTGGCAGGTATCATCTGTTTTTGTCCTCATTTTCATGGTTCATTGGTTTGTGTTACATTTCCGTAGTTTGGACCTCTTCTTGGATGCTATTAGCAATAGGTCAAATATATTTAATGCTTGGAACTGTTGCAAGGTGAATATGTCTGTCTGGCATTTGTATCTGACCTTGCCCTTATTTTCATGGTTCATTATTCAATATTATGTTTTCCTGATTAAATCTGTTTCTGAGATACTATAAGCAAAAGGTCAACTATACTTGTTATATTGAATGATTTTCAAGTGTTCATGTCTGGCATGTACCATCTGACCTTAACCTCATTAACCAGATTTTCGTAGGAAATATCGGTTATTAAAATGATGATGTACGGCGGGTGGCTGGGCGGATCTACGGGCGGCTAGCCAAACAGTGTCAGCACAAGAACATGAAAACGCCTTAACAAATTTTTTTCAAATTTAAATATGTTGTTTCCTGGGACTTAATAAAGGTCTAGTTCAATTTTCAAGATATTAGTATATCTCCTTTGTGAGTTATTGCCATTTTTAATATCCAAAAGTGGAATTTTACTCTTGTTATCTTTTTTATGACTAAGCATAATGTCTTATCTCACAATAAAAATTGGAGTGACAGATTTATTTGACAATTATCTATTTCCTAAGTGGTAATGATTATAAGTTATATTATTAGACATTTTGAAGTTAATTACATTATTGATTATTAATTAGATCTGGGTTATATCTTAGCATCTAATATCATTAGAGTGACAGATTTATTTGAAAATTTTCTGTTTCCTGATAAGATCTGTAGGACTGTATATATAATTTTTGAATTTACTGGTAGGACTGTATAAATGAAATTTGAAATTTACTGTTCATTATTAGACATTTTGTAGATAATTAAGTCTCCCTAAACAATATATATTCTTACCCCCACCCCCTTTCAATTTGAGAATGTGTTTTTATCTTGTAAACGGTTGAGATCCCCACCCCTAAACCATATATGTTCTTGTATGGGACAATAAAACAAATCAAATGAAATATTTAGGGAGTCCCCAGGTTCACCCCCACCCCCCTACTTTTTGAAAACTTGTAAACAGTCAAGATCCCTACCCCTAAACCATATATATTCTTGAATGGGACAATAAAACAAATCAAATGATATATAGGGGAAGTCCATGGGGGTCACCCCCAGCCCCTTCTTTTTGATAACTTGTAAACAGTTGAGATCCCCACCCCTAAACCATATATATTCTTGAATGGGACAATAGAACAAATCAAATGAAATTGAGGGGGAGTCCCCTGCGGTCACCCCAACCCCCCATTTTAGCTCACTGGGGCCCAAAGGGCCCCATGTGAGCTTATGCCATCACTTGGCGGTCGTTGTCCGTCGTCGTCGTCGTAAACTATTTCAAAAATCTTCTCCTCTAAAACTACTGGAACAAATACCTTCAAACTTTAACTGAATGTTCCTTAGGGTATTTAGTTTATAAATTATATCCGAAGTTTTGATCCATCGACAAACATGGCCGCCATGGCTAAAAATAGAACATAGGGGTCAAATGCAGTTTTTGGCTTATATCTCCAAAACTTAAGCTGTTAGAGCAAATCTGACATGGGTAAAACTGTTCAATTGGTCAAGATCTATCAGCCCTGAAATTTTCAGACAAATCGAACAACCAATTGTTGGGTTGCTGCCACTAAATTGGTAGTTTTGAGGAAATTTTGCAGTTTTTTGTTATTATCTTGAATATTATTATAGATAGATATAAACTGTAAACAGCAATAATGTTCAGCAAAGTAAGATCTACAGAAAAGTTGAATGACCAAATTTGTCAATTGACCCCTTAAGGAGTTATTGCCCTTTAAAGACAATTTTACACAATTTGTTCATCAAGTTTGCTAAAATCTTCTCCTCTGAAATACAGGTGAGCGATTCAGGCTCTTGAGAGCCTCTTGTTTTTAGCTCACCTGACCCAAAGGGCCAAGTGAGCTTTTCTCATCACTTGGCGTCCGTCGTCCGTCGTCGTCGTCGTTAGCTTTTTAGCTCACCTGACCCAAAGGGTCAAGTGAGCTTTTCTCATCACTTGGCGTCCGTTGTCGCCGTCGTCGTTAGCTTTTTACAAAAATCTTCTCCTCTGAAACCACTGGGCCAAATTTAACCAAACTTGGCCACAATCATCATTAGGGTATCTAGTTTAAAAAATGTGTCCGATGACCCCGCCAACCAACCAAGATGGCCGCCATGGCTAAAAATAGAACATAGGGGTAAAATGTAGATTTTGGCTTATATCTCTGAAACCAAAGCAT